ATTAAGTTGTTTTCTATAAAATACTCAATGATTTGTATTAAAAAACGCGCGAATCCCTTAAAAATTCAAATCAAATAGACAGCCTTTAGATATTAAAGAGAGCTACTTTCGATTTATTTTTAATACTTCCTTCAACATCGGCTTTGGATCTCCTAGCACCGATGTTTGCTCTAAGTGTCTTGAACTCCGGGAAAAAATTAAAAATGAAAAGGTTGCATCTATTAAAACAGTGCTAACTACAGAATACCGAATACATAAGCTCAGGGCCAAAGCATTTTTTGAACAGCTAAAAGAGAAACGGGACGGCCTTCTGACAATTTCTTTTGATTGTCAGAAAAACTTGGTATTGCCCAAAATACCAGATCAAAGTACCTATTATAGTAGACAACTGTACATTTACAACTTCACTACTGTAGTGGGGCACTCACATGCTCCGTTAACAAAAGATAATGTTAAAATTTTCACGTGGACTGAAGATGAACATGCCAAGGGCGCCAACGAAATCGCAAGCTGCGTCTTTTACACTTTAAACAATAGTAACTTAGAGGGAATAGATACACTTCGATTGGTCGCCGATGGATGCGGCGGCCAAAATAAAAATACCATTATGATATGTATGTTGTTCAAATGGCTAAGCAGTATAAGCAGTTCTATTAGAACAATCGAGCTGGTATTCCCAGTGGTTGGGCACTCCTACATTCCACCTGACAGGGTTTTTGCTACTATCGAAAAAGAAATAAGAAAGAAAGAAGAAATTGTAATGCCAGAAGAATACATAAATATTTTTCAAGAACATGCTACTGTTTTTAAACTTGGAAAAGATGTTCCCGATAGTGATTGGAAAGGTGCTGGTCAAAAAATCCTTAAGCCAGTGTCTCAGTGGCATTTTAAATTTAACCAATGTAAGAGATATATTATACGACGTGGCAACAAAAACGCCATCACCATTCGAGGTGAGTTATCTTACCGTTCAGACACCGGAACATTCAAAGGAGTTTTTAGGAAAAACCAAACCGCCATGAATATCCAGCCAAAAGAAATTCCTACCGGAGTGAAACCAAAAGATCTGAAAATGAGAGATGTAAATAACTTGTTAAGCAAACATTATGGAAAGAACTGGAGAGCGGTAGAAAATTTGGCTTATTATAGAGATGTGTTGGGAAAATTTCAGAACAATAATATTCCTGGCGATTCTCGAGAAGACAGTGGGGACGAAGAGCCTAGTTTATGTGAATCAACCGAAAATATACCTGATGTTACAGTTTAAGAGTTTTTTAAGTACAGTTTTTAAATAACATATCTTTCAAAAAATAAAGTTTCCTGTTATTAGCTACAAAGAGATTTGATTCACTTTCAATTCATGCCTAATCCATTTTGTTCAGATTCAAATGAGCCTTAATCCACAGTTTGGTAGCAAACGCAACCAAACACCATTTTTAAATCCACTTTGTGATTTTTATATCTATTTCAAAAGACGTGGTTATAGAATTTTTGAAACTTCAGTAAGTCTTCTAATAACAAATAAATTATGTTTGAATTATTAACGCCAAAATCATCCCAAAATACTTTTTTGCCGTTTTCTCAAAATCGAAAAATTTGGACTTAAGGGTATTTGAAACCAAACAACTCAATTAATTTCTTGGTTCGCATAAATCACGTTATTATGACTATTTTTAATTTAACACTGCATGTTTTGCATTTAATGATTTTTTAATGAAAAAAATGGAAATTTAAAAATTTGTATCCAAAGTACTAAGCTCTTATTTTCTTATTTAATAAAATAATGTTAACCATATATGTATTGACATTGATTGAACTAACACTTAAACAAGACAAGTTAATCAAATAGGCTTAAACTCGATTAAACTTGGAATTTATACGAGTATATTAAAGTCCGTTGTGGGAACCATGTACCAATTTGCATTTTTCACGTTCCCTCCTAATGAAAGAAAAATAGTTATTCCCGGTACCGCCCATGTCGAACGGTTAAAAATAATGGCGATTTTTAATGGACGCCAGCGCGGTTTGAAGCAATAATTAATGCCGTTTGAGCGCGTCCAACTAATAAACAATAAATAAACTGGTCCCAAGCGCAAACACAGAGGGTGCCCTTGTACCTACCTCGAGGTGGTTGAGGGCGGTCATTAGCCTCAACAATCTGACACACAGCAAAAGTCATAGTAACACAAATCAAATCAAACATTGAAATGATATAGTTGTTTGTATTGACCTGAAAATGAGTTGATCTAAATATAAACGTGATTCAAAATTTGGAAGTTTTAATCGATTGAGGTTGTCTGTATTGCGTGATCTGAGCGAGTCCTCCCGAAAATTTATATCCCGGACCCATGAAGATGGCCAAAGTGCCCCCCAGGAGGCAGTATGTGTGGTCCACGACCACGATTTCACTGCAAACTTCGATCCCCGATCGCTCCGCTGACAACTCATTTTATAATTATCACTCTGTTTGTCAAGCGACCCGTTATGATAACGACAAGAACACGGAAAATAAACAAAAAATTATATTACGCCCGAAGGAATCACTTTTAATGTTAATTTTTTTTAATCGAAGATTTATTAATTTAGTAGTAATAACCGGTAGTGCCAAAACAATGATAATTAAGCTGGGTGTGATTGGAATCTTAGTAGAATCTCTTGGATACGATTAAACTCCACCACTTACCGTAAATCTGTCGTTGAGCGAAAAAAAAAATATTAATCGTTCGCAATTAATTAACTCATTAAAGCGAACGCGAAAATACACCGAACAAATAAACGGTCCGGAGTGGGACCGTCGTGTTCCGCATTAAAGCAGCGTGCCTCCTCAAGGATCAATGTTTAAAAAAGGAATTCGGTCCGAAGAGGCAAGGGGCAATTAACGATCCCACAGCGCCGGATGAATCGGAATCATTGTATTGATTACCGGCCGAATAAATAAAGATAAAAACGTCGTAATTTTCTCCGAT